ACAACTTTTGAGTAATATCTATTGACTAGACGTTCATATTTGATAATAAATTTTAGAGTCAAACGCAACAAGTTAGTTATGAGTGCGGCTATTACATCATGGCTCACATGTTGAACATTATATCTGCTACTGTTGTTGGTTCATGGACACATGTAAGTAATATAATATTTTTAGCAAGTTGTATCAATTAATTAAAAAAAATTATGTTGATATATTAATTTAATTTTATGTCAACGTTTATTTATTTAGATATTTCAGGATTCAAATCCATTACAAAAAGAAGAAGTTAAAAATGTTCAAGAACTTTGTGCAAACATGATATTGGAACATATTGAAGAAAGCACAGACAATGATATAAATTAGGTGCAATTCTGTGTTGAATGTTGGTTGTTGGCTGTTCAGAAGATGATATGATTTTTTCAGGCCAATATTTAAGGTTTCTTATTTTGATGATGTTTTGATAAGTACGTACTTGGTGCTTTAGAATTAACATGCACGTGTTTGTTTGTGTATTAGTATTATTAATATACGTAATTGTGTTTATAAGTTGTTGGTATATTTTATTTGATAATTAGGGATTTTACTGTGATCTGTGTTGTGTGATTTTTTTTTTGGTGTAATTTGTTGATTGAGTTGGATAGTCTGATTTGGGGGTAAATTGTTAAATGGGAAAACTGCATATGAATTGTGTGATTATCCAAAAAATAAAAAAAAACAACTTCTAATTAGGTCGGTTAGTTATACCCGATTTAAGAAAGTAAGTTCTTAGGTCAGGTATAAATGGTTTCTGCAGGTTAGACTTATTAAGTCGGGTTCTGCCTAACCGACCTAAGAAGTGTTTGTTAAGTCAGGTCCACAACCGACTTAAGAAGTCAAAACTTCTTATGTCGGTAATTTTTAGGTCGGGCTCGGACCCGACTTAAAAAGTCATTTTTAACCGACTTAAAAAGTCTTTTTTTTCACTAGTGATATTTTTTATCTATTGAATAGGTTTAAGTCTAGACAAAGATTTAGGTTCAGTATCGATACAAACTATTGAATCTTAATGATATCGTATTGGTTAAGAGGATAAGATATCATTTATTAGTTAATACGATTTATCTTATGACATTGACTCAGGCATGTGCTAAGATGGGAACGGTGGGCGATAATATTAAGAGCTGGTTAAAAATGTATATTAATGATCAATGATATTATATGAGAATAGATCAATGAAATCTAATCGCAAAAAAAGACACTAGCTTCCATTCACCAAGATCAACATATGCCATTTAAATATTTGATTTAGTTTTTAATGCATAATTTTTCATAATAAATATATTAATTTCAATATAAATAAGATGATAATAAATTTATATAATACATATAATGATTAAAAAAATTGAAAAAAATTAAACTAAATCTATTTAAAATGTTGATAAAGAAAATAGTCAAAAATATTTTTTTAATAATTATTTTATAAAAAAAAAGCAACAACTTAGCACTGCAATAAATAGTCGATCGATAGGTGCCAAAAATACGTAAAAGACCCAAGCATTTATTAACTTATTTATAGCACAATATATGAAAAACACCCCAACTTATTTATAAAACACAATAAAATGCTAGTATGAATTTTTTTACAGTGTATTCATTAAGTACAGGTAAAAAGTACAAAGAAAACACTAAAACTAGACAAATGACACCTTTTAGGAACCAAGGTTCGTTTAACCATGAGTAGGGCATCACTAAGTGAGCAAATGCAAAAAAAAAAAAAAGAATACTTAAGACCCAAGTAACTTCATGTCTAAGTAAGGAAGTTTGCTTAGCGCAATACCATACGCGCTAATCAAAGTATGGTGGTTCAAGACTTAAAGGTTAAGTTTCTTCATGAAAAATGAAAGGTTTGCTCGCCAAGCGAGCTTAGAGGTTCTTTAAGGAAGTATATGCGGTGAAGACCACTTGTAGGATGAGGAGACATGCATGTTTTAAGGGTGAATAAAGTAGGTTCTCTAAGTGAACCGCGAGCCTTGCTTAGTAATAATAGCAATTCAATTAAAGAGATTTTGTGTTATTAAATAGTTTTTTTGGCGGGGAGTTAGAGAAGTCTATTGTGTACTAGAAACACAACAAGAGAGAAAAAAGAGGGATCATTGAAGATGGAAGTGTTGTCTAAGGAATCCGAAACAAAAAATTTTCAACATCTTTTTTCTTAGGCTTAATTGTAAAGTTACAATGAATAAGCATAATTAATTTCTTTTTTGTTGGGGTTAGACCTAGTCATTCTAATGCTCATGTATTGATTACAGTCACGGTGTTCTACGTAATTCTTCTTAAGCTTTACTATCAATGAATTCTTTATTTGCAATGTTTATTTTAGATTAGCTACATGAGACATATTTTTATGGTATGACTTGGTATGCGATGGGTACTGATCATTATTAGATCCATATTTTTTATCTATTGGATATGTTTAAGTCTAGACAAAGATTTAGGTTCAGTATCGATACAAACTATTGAATCTTAATGATATCGTATTGGTTAACAGGATAAGATATCATTTATTAGTTAATACGATTTATCTTATGACATTGACTCAGGCATGTGCTAAGATGGGAACGGTGGGCGATAATATTAAGAGCTGGTTAAAAATGTATATTAATGATCAATGATATTATATGAGAATAGATCAATGAAATCTAACCGCATAAAGTTTTACTAATTATTAAACACTAAAGTTTATTTTCCTTTATGATATTTTACTTTTTGTATTTACAAATAATCAAATATCTTATATATCATTCTTAAAGTTATAGAATCTATTGAACCATCTTTAAAACACAATGAGTTTCTATAGAGATGATAAAAAAATTAAATTTCCTTCTACACTTGAAACATCAATTCTATATTTTTTAAGTATTCAGTCCAATTTAAACTTTAGAATCAATGCAGTAAACCAATGCATTCGTTCAATTCAGTTAGAAGTTAAATTTTCCGTACTGTTCTTTTGAACTTTTATTATGTTTTAGCTCAAAATTGCAAATTTATATGATTTTATAACGTATCAAAATTGCAAAAATAAGTTTAAGAATATGTTTAGATTTATAATATGAGATAAAGTGGTAAATAATAAAATTTTATTGTTTGAGTTTATAAATAATAGATGAAGGAGAATGAAATATGATAAAATCTATTCCATTCATTTTCTTCCAATCATTCATTTTTTTTCCATTTTGCTTTGAGATGTATACAATTAAATACGACTTTTTTAATAAAATATTTAAACAATGTAGTGAAATTTATATTTCATTTCGTTCTACTTAAATCCACACCATTATGTTGCATTGCACTCTGCTTCATTATGTTGCATTCTGCATCGTTAAAGATTAAATGTCTATTCTTTTCCTTCATAATTTTACTTATGAGGTAATATTATATTTGAGAAGTAATAACACACATTTATGGATATAAATGACTAGTTTTCTAGTAAATATGTATGGACTAGTCAAAAAGTATATATGTGTATGTTATTCCAATATGAACAGGGACACTCAAAAATCTTATTAAATAATGCGAGTAGTTTTATTATGAGAAGATTTTCAGCTAAAAATTATGTGTTCTTTTAGTGTCAAAATTTAGAATATTTTAAAATTAATTTTAAAATAAGTTATATAATTATTTCAAAATAATATTTAAAAATCATTTCTAAAGTAAACTATGTAATAATTTAAAATTATTTTATAATTTAAATATAGTATTTCTTTTCATTATGTCACTATTTTATCTAATGTGGACCAAACACATGAAACCATAAAATAATATTATATTACTTATTATATTCTACCAAACCTTTATAAAATAAATCATTTGTCTCCTCTAAAATAAAATAGTGAAATTAATTTAAAATATTAAATTCATTAATTATACACTCATTTAAAATAAAGTATAATAAATAAATTTTATTATATATCTCTTATCATAGTCACCAAGTAATTTTAAAAAGTATAATATATATATATATATATATATATATATATATATATATATATATATATATATATATATATATATATATATATATATATATATATATATATATATATATATATATATATATATATATATATATATATATATCACCAGATCAAAATGAGTCATTCGTCGGCCACACGTCTGAACTGTTTGATTGTTGGAGAGAATGGAAGGGGTGTACCTGAAACATACTCTGATGCTAAAGTAAGAGTCGGACATAGCGATAACAAGTACAAAAAGAGAAGTAAGAATAAGATTATCTGACCCTTTAGTGAAAGAGGGTATTTATAGTGTTCCCCAGCGCGGGGCCAACGGTTACTTCGCGTTGGACTGCCAGGCTGGTAACTGCTAGAGTTGACGTGGCGTCAGGAAGAGCAGTACATGGTCTTCGCCCCAGTGTAACTGTTCCATGCTATCTGAGAGGTTAAGGACTGAATAATCAAAACACGGGTAGTTACTTGACAAGGTGTCTCCGCGTAAGGGACATGTTGAGAATTGTGATGAAAAATTACTTATTATTACAACTTCAATTAATAGTTGTTATATGTATATTTTTGTTAACAAATTAAAAGTTGCTGAAAAAAGTCGATGCCAAATGTAGTGATATGTTTGAGAACAAATAACACACATTTATGGATATAAATGACTAGACAAAGTAAAATTTGATGTGTTTGAAATTTTTAACACGTTAAAAAATTATATGACAATATTTCAAATGTTGGGGGACCAAAAGGACGGTTATATTTTCTTTAACTATATAAAATATATTATAAATATGTGTAGTTATTTGGAACACAGCTCCAAGAGATAGCTAGTGTGAACTTAAAATACTATGCTTTCAATATTGTCACTATCAGCTAATGCCAACCAAGTAAAAGTTCCGTATTGATTCCTCCTTCCTTCCATTATATAAAGACCACAATTTCTTACTATTATTCTCATCCTTCACTACCAAATATCATATTTCAATTGATCCTGAGTTGAGTACAATGAATTCAAAAATAGCATTCCTCATCATTGGCGTTTTGGCCATGGTTCTTCTTATTTCCTCACAGGTGTCTGCTAATACCAAAGAAGGTGAGCTAGCTTTTCGTTTTCTTTTCAAATTTAGTCTCCAAATTTTTTTCTCATTTAAAATTTATTTAATATAAGTTAACAAAGTGATGTTGTATTTGCAGAGGTTGTTGGAAAGTCAAATGAACTAAATGATGCCAAATATGGTTATGGTCGTGGTGGTTACAATGGCGGAGGCGGTGGTTACAATAATGGAGGTGGGTACCGTAACGGTGGAGGAGGTTACAATGGCGGAGGCGGTGGTTACAATAATGGAGGTGGGTACCGTAACGGTGGAGGAGGTTACAATGGTGGAGGTGGTTACCGCAATGGTGGAGGAGGCTACAACGGAGGAGGTGGTTACCGTAATGGGGGAGGTGGTTACAATGGTGGAGGTGGTTACCGTAATGGTGGAGGAGGGTACAATGGTGGTGGCGGCTACCGTAATGGGGGAGGAGGTTACAATGGAGGTGGTGGTTACAATGGTGGAGATTCTGATAATCTTAACTGATTATATCATCATGCATGCATGTACTGAGTATAATAAATTTCATGAATAAATAGTGTTGGGAGTTAAACAAAAGAGGTATAGATAGACATCCTTTGTGGTTATGTATTATCTCTATCCTGCCACTCTATAGTATATATATTGTACCACTCTATAAATCACTATGTATATGTGATGATGAGTTTTACTTTTAACTAAAGTGGTGAATGTATTTTCATGTAATATATCAAATATCATCATTGTATCATTTCAAATTTCAGGATTGCTATGTTGACACCCTTTTCTACACCCTACACTCAATTTACTATTCACAAATACTTGAACAAATTCCTCAGAACATGGTTAATAGTGTGTATTTTATTGGTTAATGAAGTAATGAAAGTGGTTAATAAATTATAGATAAAATAATTGACTAATGATGTAGATTTTTGTGGTTAATGTAACTGTAAAGTTGGTTAACGCGCAATCTTATATTTGTGTTATAAAATAAATTTTAAAAATAAATATTTTTTTTTTAAAAATTAATATTTTAAAAAAATATATTATTTTAATAAAAAAATACTGTTTACCGTATAAATACGGTGAACAGTGCATACGGTGTAAGTATTGAGTGTAGAAAAGGGTGTAAGAATAACATTTTTCTTCAAATTTATCCTAAAATTTCAAACAAGTTTTAACAAAATTGATAAAAAAAAAAAGAAAGTGTGCATCATTATGTTAACATGCATTTGACACGAAATATTGTAAAAAAATTTATTGTACCAAAATATAAATTATTTTAGTTGTAATATTTCAGACAAAATTTGTTAAATAAATAAATAAATCCACATATATTTCACCCAAAATCTAACTCAAAAGTTTGCTTGAATTTAAGGTAAGTTTTATTAAATAAAATATAATGTTCAAGGGTGGTAGATGGTGTTGAGGCAATGAAAGGTGCAGTTAAGCAACATTTTGTTGTAATATTTCAGAATCACATACTAACAGACCAAGAACAAAGAGGGTGGAGTTAAAAAAATATCACAAGAGAAGAATGTGGGCTTAGAAGAGTGGTTTTCTAATGAAGAGATAAAAGAAGTGGTCTTTGACAGTGAAGGGAATAGGAGTCTAGGACCTGATGGGTTTAATTTGATTTTTTGAAAAGATGTGGAGATGTGGTTGGTGAATATATAATTAGTTTTATTCAAGAATTCGACAAAACAACATAATTACCAAATAGCCTTGACATCCTCCTTTTTGGACCTAATCCTCAAAAGTGACAATTCTCAAAGTTTTAAAGTGTAAAGACTTATATCACTACAAATAAATTGTTGATTAGCAACATTTGAGTTGTGACAGTTGACATACAATTATACAACTTACGAATTATGACAGTTCAGGCGACAGTCACAAGTGTAAAAACATTACACACCATAATATTTGTTTTAGCATAAAGTAAACTTTAAAAAAACTAGAATTACTAAGAAACTAAAACAAAGAAAGTCATTAAATCAAGCAATACAAAGAACTTAATCACTTTAGGACATATGACAAATATATTAAAATATAAATCTGTAGCATAAATAAAATAAATATTTTATCATTTTGCTACAGTGGTAATCAATTAACTAATATGGGTTAATCGATTATAACATCAAAAAAAGGCTGAAAAACGCTGGATAGCAGGCATCTAATCGATTAACCAATATGTGTTAATTGATTAACACATAAAAAAACCAGTAGCTAGATATCTTATAGCATCCATTGAAAATTCATAAACTACAACTTTGACAAATTATTATATATCATAATGCAACTTTGTATCATCAATATATGTCATAAAAATAATTGGAACAATATGTAATATGTAATATGAGAACTTATAATTTTTATGAAAAACTCACATACTTAGAAATTTAATAAATTTTTGAAAAAGAAATTTTAAGTGTACCTTTGATTCATTATTGAGTATAATGAATAAATGTTAAAGAATCATACATCACATTAATCTAAAATTCCAAGCTCCCGTCGAATTTTGTAAAATGACTCCTTTGTGAGAGGTTTTGTGAATATGTCTGCTAGTTGGTTATGAGTATCCACGAATGAGACTTTAACATTGTCTTTAAGCACATGATCTTGGAGAAAATGATGTCGCATGTTTATGTGTTTAGTATGGGAATGCATGACTGAATTCTTTGTAATATTTATTGCAATTGTGTTGTCGCATCGAAGTAGTATGCATCCGAGATTTAGTCTGTAATCACTCAGTTGTTGTTTTAGCCAAAGAATCTGAGCACAAAAACTTCCCGCTACTATGTATTCTGCTTCTGCGGTGCTAAGAGCAACACATGCTTGTTTCTTACAATACCAAGAGACTAATGCATTTCTTAGGATGTGACAGGTTCCACTTGTACTTTTTCTATCAGTGTTTCAACCTGCATAATCCGAGTCAGAATAACCAACTAAATAACATATAATATCTTTTGGATACCATAAGTCGATGTTCGTTGTTCCCTTTAGGTACTTCATGATTCTCTTCATTAAGGCAAGATGTGATTCCTTCGGATTGGCTTGAAATCACACACAAAGACAAACATTAAACATAATGTCGGGACGGCTTTCCGTCAAATATAATAATGAACTAATCATAGCTCGATAGCTTGATCAATATAAGTTCCGAATCCCATAGGTGTAGACATTGCTTTACAACTATCCATGTGGAATTTCTTCAACAACTCTTTGCAATACATGAATTGATCGATGAAGATGTCATCCTTTAGTTCCTTGATTTGTAATCCAAGAAAATAATTCATCTTACCCATCATGGACATGTCGAATTATCCTTGCATCATCAATGATTATTCTTCATAAAGGTATTTGTTTGTTGAACTGAATATGATATCGTCTACATAGACTTGAACCAATAAAGTGTTAACTTTTATTTTCTTAATAAACAAGGTCTTGTCAACTTTACCTTTTTAAAATCCTCTTTCACAAAGAAAGTTGCTAAGTCGATTATACCACGCCCTTGGTGCTTGCTTTAAGCCATAAAATGCTTTCATCAACTTGAAGACATGCAGAGGATTTTTGAAATCTTCAAAACTCATGGGTTGTTTGACATAGACTTCTTCATTGATGTAGCCATTCAAGAATACACTCTTGACATCCATTTGGAATAACTGAAAATTTAATGAACACGCATAAGCAAGTAATAAACGAATAGCTTTTAACCTTGCAACTGGAGCTAAAGTTTCTTCAAAATCAATGCCTTCCTCTTGATTGTATCCGTGTGCCACTAATCTTGCTATGTTTTTAATAGTTATGTCATTCTCATCAAGCTTGTTTTTAGACACCCATTTGGTTCCAATAATGTGTTTACCACTTGGCCTAGGAACAAGTTCCCAAACTTGATTCCTTTCAAATTGGTTTAACCCTTCTTACATAACAAGTATCCATTGGTCGTCACTTAAGACTTCATCAACCTTGGAAGGTTCAATGTGTGATACAAACGCCATATTCAAGAAAGCATCTTTGAGATTGAGTCTTGTTGCAATGCCTTGACTAATATTACCAATGACTTTATCAATTGGATGATCTCTTTGAGTTCTCCTTTCCTTAAGTAGAACATTATTATTAGACTCTTGTTGAATTGGTTCTTCTTGATGCTTCAGTTGATCATCATTGTTTTCACTTGAAGTATCTTCTTTAGGAACATCTATAATATCATCATCATCATCATCACACAAGACAATTTCCTCTTTGGAGGGGTTAAATTCATCAAATGACACATGACTAGATTCTTCAATTGTTAAATTTCTCTTGTTATAAATTTTATATGCTTTACTAGAAGGAGAATATCCAAGAAAAATAGTCTTTGTCATTATTTGAGACAAAGCACTTGCATCCAAATATGTGAAAGTAGGCAACGTTTAAGACAAAGCATTTACAAAAACCTTTCTTCTTTCTTTGTTCCAAATGAGAAGTTTTCGAACCAGGAGGTACTATAGTTTGACCATCTTTGACTAACAAATCAAATATCTCATCACATTTTGTCAAAAGTGTAAGTTCTAGTGGCGAACTTCTCATTTTAGTTGGTCTCGACAGGATTTTTCCTGTTCAATAGTTTCAGTAGTTTACAAACATAAGGGGGCTCTGGATTTAATCCATCCATGTTGACCTCACCTTCCTCAGAACAATCATCACCTACATCGAAGACATAATCGTATGCATCTATGTAATCGACTTTTTCTTTTTTGAGAAATTTACCAGTTATGGCTTTCTCAGCTTTTAGGCGTTCGACCTGACGAACCCTATTTGCATGTTGTGTCATGTCCCTCAAGTATTCAGTATCCAACTTTTTCCTAATTGAATAGTGCATGCCACCAGCGACCATTTCGACTAACTCATGCTCATGCACTTGGGTAAAGCACCTTTTCTTGAGAAGTCTAAACCTATTTAAATAGTCATGCATCGATTCAGGGACTTTTTGCCTAACACACGACAACTCCTTTAAACTAATTTTCGAGTGTCCCATATATAATTGTTCATAGAATAACCTTTCCAAGTGGCTCCATACTAGACAAATCCTTTCCACATCTTAATTGCATACAAAATATCCAGAGAGGACTCTTAAAAAATAGAATGCTATTTTCAAAAGTAAGGAAAACAAAAAAAAATCTATAAACAGATAGGAAACTTTAGCACATGTCCCACCAGGCGTGCCAATTTGTTTATGCTAAATAATGGTAAAGAACCGTTGATCTCAAAATTAAGGGTTACTTGCAGGATCGACAAGTGAATCATAGGACATAGTTCCAAATAACCTCTTCATTCTTTATTTTCTTGTGTTTGAAGTGACTACTTTCGAGTTGGTTGAAATATGGTTTTAAGTAACTGTATGAAGGTATAAAATTTTCGACTTCGACTATTTTAGGAATACAGATGGGAAATTATAAATATTGAAAATGTTTAATGAAGAGACTTGAAAGAACTTAAAATAAAGAACATAAATCAAAGTTTAAAGT